AAAAAAATGAAAAGACAGTTAAAATCCTACAATTCCTAGTGGAAAATATACTTATATTGTGTTGCGTAAATAAATGTCCAAAACGCTGTATTGAATGTGTGTTGTGGTTTATTGTCTGCACCTAAACGCTAATGAAAGTTTGAAAACGTTAATGAACCCACGCAAACATATTCATGATTGTCAAATTCAATGCTAAATTTCTTAATGAACGTTCCATCGCACTCTTGAGAGTCCGTTCGCCTTATTGTATGCCTGTTCGTTCTAATGACAATGCTTCTTCGCTTCAATGAATATTTCTTTGCGGTTAATGAACAGCAAAAGGTGTATTAGGGACCTTAAGCTGCAGGACGGCAACGTGGGCGACAACGTCGGCGAAATTGAAGCGCTTAATTACCGTTCTCGGTAATTAACTCTTAGTACGTATTGCCCGTGTAACACGAAATGGGGTGGGCTCTTGTAAGCAATCAAACCGTGATCATCTCGAAATCAGTATATTGGCTTACTCAGTGGTGTTTCATACATACATACATAGTTTATTCAAGACGCAAATAAGAAGTTACATGAATATTAAAAAAATAAAAGCAAGCACAAGCAAAACATTACATGTGAACAAACCAAAGATGTAATAAACATCTTGAATAAGAAGTTAGGAGGTCATCCCTATGCAAAAACTCCCATACATAAGCTGATCAACACGTAGTAAAAATTACCAAAGCTTTTACCAAGAACACATCAGCTTACCGTTAAATACGGTTTTCCATCCTTTACCCATCCAATCACGATATCAGCTCCCTTCATTCTACCAGTACTGGGTGAGAATCCAAGGCCAAACCATCCAGTAGTAACGGCCTCCACAGCAAACGAGATGCTCTCTTCAGCTTGGTTCACAGTCCAGTAGAGTTTAATCTTCTGTGAAGGATCTAATGCAACGAAATGGTCGTACTCTGAAGAAAGATCTGCAAGGCTCTGGCCGATAAGACCAAACACCAAGGCTGCGTAAAACAGCGACATCTTAATCATCCGTTAGAACGACTGATAGAAAGTGAATTGCTGAAATGGTGCGTCAGGGATGAGTAGACTCCAAAGTCTTCAAAAGCTTGGAATCTTCATGTTCATAGTTGCTATTCAATCTGTTATTGATAACCAACCTAATTATGCGTGATGTTTCCACATGAAGCATATCATTCCTAGTCAACCATAAGCTATTTGTCTGACAATGCTTGAAAAGTTTGCATAGATATACAGTGTCAGGAATTATTTGATTATTCGGTTTTTCCTTACTCCTCTCAAAATCAATCCTAACTAATTCAAACTGGCTAGAGCTGTGCTCCAGGGTCATAAGGCGGACAGTATAGTAAAGCTGCGCCACTGGTGTACTTGCACTGGTGATTAGTAATACTTTGTTCATAAATACAATAGACCTCTCAAGCCAGATGCCCTAAGGTCCTGAAAATCAGTCTCTCCCACCGAGTACCCTATTCACTAGATTAACACCAAAGGCTCACTTTTGCAAAAAGAGAGAGGAAGAAAGAGGGGTGGAAAGAGAGAGATGGAGATAGGGGAAAAGAGAGTGTGAGAGAATGATACCTGAAACTGTAGTGAGTCACCCTTGGGTACTAAAAATAAATTTTGAAAATAATTATTATTCGGGCTGATTAAGTCATGCGTAGACATTTGATTGACAGCTGTAACAGAGCGTAAACCTGATACGACCCACCACAAGCTTAAGGGAGTCAATCAGTCGTTGCCTTATCATTTGCAGTAGGTGTTCAAGCCACAACGTACGTTCTGTAAAAACTGACAAGATGAAGAATGCTGTCTTTGTTATCTATATTTTACTTGTTGCAAACTACGCTTCAGGTGGGTTTTCTAAGACGATTCCCCCTATCTTGGGGTTGCATTTCACTCGTTATTTCAAAGTGGTAGTTGAAGTTCTTCGTGGCATACGTAGTACCGACTCCAACGTAAGGTTACAGTACGCTGAGCGATCTCTGGACTGCCTCGTTCTTAGAAACTAGTTACCAGTTAAGGTGGCCCAGAGGTACAATACACGAAAACAAAATCAAATGAATGTGATATGTAATAACATTTTTGTACACTAATTATGTACTGTTTAATAAACGAGCAGGAGTGTTTTATAGGGTATAAAACACGAGGCGCAGCCGAGTGGTTTTAGACCCGATAAAACACGATCTGCTAGTTTATTAAACGACTTAAAAAACTCCTGATGTATGTTCTCATACTGTACCGAATTCTTTACGAAATGAACCAAGTTTGATAGAGAAAATCCAAGTTAAA